AATTAAAAAAGATTATCTAACTTTATAGGAAATAGAAACATACCTAAAACCATTAACCCCAAGAAATATTTGACATTCACTTAAATTTATTGATCTTTAACATAAGCTATATATATATATATATATATTTCATCTCTATTATATGGTTCTTAATATTAGGGTTTGCTGTTTCATGTAGTAGCTGAGAGGGGAGGATGAGGTTGACTAAAACCAGCCGCTATGGTTGACCGCCGCCCTACCCTTGACTATATACAGTCGGCAAACCCCAATTTGTGCAATAATATTTTTTGTGTTTTTTTTTCCAATATGTATGGCTTCCACGTTCTAATTTGCTTCATTTTGGAGCAATATGATCTTGGTATATTGGTAGTAAAAGCGGTGTACGGTGACGTTTTTTGTTTCTCGTTTCTTTTTTTAATAAAGAAAAAATTATGACAATTGGGAGCAATTCGATTGTTGTTATGAAGTGAAAAGAATTGAACGTGGAGTTTTGTTTGTAAAGATTGATATGAGGTTCGATGAATGTTTTGTAGTGTCAATATGGGAGATGTTGAGGTCGCTCTATCGATCAAGCAGTTTCATTACCCCTTAGGGTAAATTTCTTCGTCCTCAGCTCAACCTCACGAACCTCTTTTTTTGAACGTTTGAGCCAGGTGGACTTCGATCGTAAGCCATTAAACTATTTTGTTCCTAACAAGCCATCTTTGGTTCAAATTTTTTAATCAAAATTGTATGACATAAGCCTTAGAAAATTTTAATTGCTATTGCTTTCTATAAGTATACCACTAAGATGCTAAAAAGTATGACCCTCAACCTATTGGACAAATTCAAAGACTACTAGACCAAGAAACATACCAAATTGAAGCCTAATCCACTCCTCAAGACCCAAATGGCGTCAAGGCTCCTACTTTGCAAAATCTAATTGGTTCAAGGGTCAACCCAATCAAGTTTGAAGCACCATTTTGGATGTTATAACATAGGAGAAGTAAGTTTATTCTCAATCTCCAAACTCTTAGCTTGTTCTACTTAAATCACTCTATAGCTCAAGTATCGGGAAGCACCACACTCATGTGCAGGATCTTCATCATCTTTTCCTTATAAATCTATTAATCAATCTATGATCCGATTAGATGGGTTATTTAAATTTGTTGTGTAACTTAAAATTAAAAAAATTAAAATGTTATAGTTTTTTTTTTTTATATATATATAATAATTTAAAAGAAAACTCTAAAATAAACCAAATAGCTTGAAATACATAGAGAAAGACTTGACACGAATGTTTGTTTTTTCCTTCTTCTTTTTTTAAAAAAGGGGCCACAAAAAAACAAACATTCACACGTGAAACCTCACAAAAACTAATAATAAAACAATATTTTTTTTAATTATTAAAAAAAAAAAAAAAAAAAAAAAAAAAAAAAAAAAAAAAAAAAAAAAAAAAAAAAAAAAAAAAAAAAAAAACTCTCTTTTTTCAAATAGAATTCATTGTTTGACTACAAATCTTTTTTTCATTGATTTCCTCAAACCGACAGTCAAATTAGCATCGTCCATTTGTTTGTGTATATAGACACATTCACGAATGATAAATTAAAATAAATATTAAAATTTCAAAATTTTATATTATTTTGTTTTTTTTTTTTTAAAAAAAAAGAATAAACTAATTATGCTATCTTGATGTAAAAATACAAAATTGTTGACATAATATTTTTAATAAATAAAAAATAAAAAGTGGGCTCAAGGAATGAATTTGTATTTAGAATGCCACTTGAAATTTCAAATAATTAATTTCCAATTACCAACAATATTCCTTTGTCGAAATTGTGGTTCATACAAGAAATGCCAATTGTTTTAGTTCATAAATAGATCAAGTGACCATTTTTAATGTGAAAACCCATATCAAATATGCTTCATAATCTCTCTCTTTCTTGGAATTTGTAGCATAATCCAACTACTAATTAGGTAAACAAAGAAACAAATATGAGTCCCTCTCAAGACCCAATCAAATCATATCAAATGGAATTGATATCTATGAGCGAACCTTTAAACAAATGTGTTTGGTAGCCTTGACCAAAGGGAAATAGAAGCATCGGTGTTTGCAACTTTGTTTCTTTTCATAATTTAAAAGTTGTGAATTTGAATTTATATTATAACTGCTCAAGTCTACTCTTACCAGATATTGTTCGTTTTAATTCGTTACGTTTGTACGCGTCTGTTAGGGAAAAGTTTCCACACCTCTATAAAGAATGCTCATTCCTCCCTTCAATAGTGTGAGGTCTTATGGTTGTTCTGTCAGTTCACCTTAACTTAATCCACCCAATCAACTTATAACACTTTCATGTCAATTTAAGTATAGATCAATCGAGGAATGATGGTTCGATCTCTCACTCACTCTCAAAACGCGTAAACCGAAAAGATCTACACAACTATCCCATCAAAATTGAATTATATTAAAAATATTAGGAGTAAATGGTACATTTGGACAACTCATAACAACATGATTCCAAACCAAATCTCAAGACATATCATTAATTATTAAACAATAAAATACAATAAGGTATTTTAAAAAAAATTCCCAAGCACAAGCCCTATGCTCATATCTCACATGTCTTGTTAGTACAATCAATTAAATCAGAGATATCCATAACTGGCTACCATCAATCAATAAAGAAATTGAAAGATGCTTAAACCAGAGATATATATATATATATATATATATATATACACACACATATGATTATATTTCAAAAGGGTATGAAGAAAATGACATGAAATTAATAAAAACCACACAATTTAATGTCGTTCTGACAAGACATTTAATGATCTTTTGGTTTGGTTATTACAAATGAAACCCATTTTTGGAATAATCAATGATGTTTATTGAAAGTTGTAGGAGTTTTGTAGAACCCCAAAGTCTTTTGCATTTATTGCTTCTCACATGATTCTAAGGCCTTTTTTTTTTTTTTTTTTTTTGTTCTAATTGCATAACCCAACGCCTAGCTTTGCTTCATTGTATGTTGGTCTTTCATTGAAGCAATCGTTTTACACATTAATTACAGTGGTTTTTCATTAATTACAACTATGACAAACCCTACCTATTACTTTATTTTCTTAGAGCATTCGAAGTTGGAATATAATTTATTGTGGGAAGAACTTATCGATCGATAGTTTTATCTATTCATGTAACTGTATAATTAAAAAACATAAATAGAGATACCGATCGTAACTTAGACAAAATGTGCCAAGAGTTAATCTTTGATTTGGTGGGCTTGGTGGATTCATTTATGATAATATCCTCCCAAATTTGGCAAAAGGTTATTTAGAGTGGATGTGAGATCACACGTCGATTGGAGAGAGGAACGAGTGTCAGCGAAGATGCTGGACCTATAAGGAGCGTGGACTGTGAGATCTCATGTTGATTGCATAGGAAAATAAAGTATTCTCTATAAGTGTATGAAACCTCTCCTTAGCGTACGCATTCTAAAAACTTCCTAGTGAAGTCCAAGAGAAAAAGTCCAAAAAAGATAAAACCAATTACATTGGATTTACTTGAAAATGAAATAAAATGAGAAGATGAAGAGATTCCTTTAAATCAAATAAATAAAACAAAAGACGATGAATTTTATACACAAAATTAGGGTTTTATAAACCAAAGTTTTGCTAAAGAGAAAGACATTGGGAAATAACAAAACAAAGAGGGTTTTGGACATAGTGCCCTAATTAATGTCAACTTTGTCGTCATGTTGTAAAACCCTAGCAAATTTTTTTAAAATTTTAATTTTAATGAAGATGATAATTTTTTATTTTAATTATTAACTTTTTATTATGGATTTGTGTGATGTTTTTGTTTTAAAAAATTAGAAATGAAAAAGTGTAAATTAAGGAAGAAAAACAGACATCTTCACCGCCTTAGAAGGAAAAACATGAGGCTTCCAATGCCAAACATTAAATGAGCTTCGTTGGCTGTTTTTTTTTTTTTTTTTTTTTTTTTTTTTTTTTTTTTTTTTTTTTTTTTTTTTTTTTTTTTTTTTTTTTTTTTTNTAAGAATTCATTTTCGAGATGTCATATGCTTTTTCTAATGTATTTGTCTAATGGTCGTAAAAATTTGGTCAAATCTCTTCGCTTCCAAATATTCTGTGTCCCAAAATTCAATACTTGGCTTCGGTTTTTAAGATAATAAATATTATGTGAGGCTCTCGAGACTAAACCTGTCCTTACTGTAGCACAAATATTGTTTTTTTTTTTTTTTTTCTTTTCGGACTTCTCTTCAAAGTTTTTAAAACGTGTTTGCTATAGAGATGTTTTTATACACTTATAAATAATATTTTGTTCCCCTCCTCGCTCCAACGATGTAGGATCTCATTGAAAATATTCATAAAAAAATATTTTCAATTATATACTTTTTAGTTTGGCTTAAATAGTTGTGTAATATATTAGTGGCAGTTTTGTAATTATTTGTTGTAAAGGCACCATTCTCTGGGACTACATGAGAGCTAGGCCTTCAAACTTTCAAGAGCTCATTGTATTTGGGCCAAGGCCCATTTCAAGCAAAGAGCTTGAGGCTGGAAAGGTCCACCATCAAAAGTTCATTGTATTTGGGCCAAGGCCCATTTCAAGCAAAGAGCTTGAGGCTGGAAAGGTCCACCATCAAAAGTTCATTGTATTTTGTCATTTTTATTGACTCTTCCACCAAGAAGAAAATTGCGAATCAAATTCTATTTTTAGATTTCTAATTTTTATTCTTTAATTTAATATAAAAACTCAAATTTATCCAATAAATTAATATATATTATTTATTTATTAAAAAAAATGGAAGAAAATTGAGTGGAGTGGAATTGCATTGAAAAGTCTTGAGATATTTACGGCGTAAATGAAACCAACCACATCCATCTCACAGTCGGGCACGAGCTTGACACGCGCTCAACTCCGATTCTCAATCTCCACCATTCACGTGTATCTTCATCCAACGGCTTATCTTTCATTTTCCCATCCTTTTATATTTCCCTCAACTCTCGTCATCCCCTCCACCTCCATCCTCATCCACTTCTACCACACACGCAGTCTCTCAAAACCCTCAAAAATCCATTTCTCATCCTCTTCAATTTCTCAATCATGCTTCTTCGTGCTCCTTCGGCCGCCATCTCTGTCTCTAACTCTCGAGGGGAGAATTTGGTTCCTCTCTTTTCTGCTTCGTCGTCCTCGTCGTCTTCGATTCTTAGGCTTTCTCCGGTTAGAAATGGTGGTGGTTTGATCGTTTCTGCCTCGAAGGGCGCTAACACTCGGCCATTGACGGGAGTGGTTTTTGAGCCCTTTGAGGAGGTCAAGAAGGAGCTCAGTCTTATTCCCACTGCTCCTCAAGTCTCGCTTGCTCGCCAGAAGTATAGCGATGCCTGTGAGGCTGCGATTAATGAGCAGATTAAGTGAGTTTTCTTATTGGTTTTTTTTATTTATTTTGGAGGTATTGTATGTGCGTTTTCTCTAGCGGATCTTCTTTTGAGTTATTTGATTGTAGTTTGTGTTCTGTTTTGGGAAGATCTGTATGTGGTAATCTTCTTTTGAAATGTTTTGTTTCTTGATTTTATAATTCTCTGCTCGATTCTTTTAATTTTTGGTAATCTGTTTCGTATATTTGGTATGGTGTTTTAATTCTAGTTATATGTATATTATTTTACTCTGAAGCGTACGTATTTGGTTTGATGTTTAATATCTGGTATTTAAATATGAATACGATTCTTTATATGGAAATAACTTGTTGGTTGTTGTGAAACGTATATATCTTGTTTGGTGTTTTCGTACTGGTATTTAAATATGAATTTGATTCATTATATGGAAATTATTTGGTTTGGAGTTACATTTCTGGATATGAGTTTCTATATGGAAAGCTAACAATTGGATTTCATAACAGTGTTGAATACAATGTATCATATGTATACCATTCCATGTTTGCCTACTTTGATAGAGACAACGTAGCACTCAAGGGTTTGGCCAAGTGAGTATTGACTATCTAATCTTGTTTTTAGCATGTTTGATAACCATTTTGTTTTTCGGTTCCTGTTTTAGAAAATTATGTTCATTACCTCACAATTCTTAGGTGGAAGTAGTGTTTTTAAAGCTTAATTTTCAAAATGCTCGAAAAGAATGGTTATCAAACGGCCCTCAATTGCTAAGTCTCTTTTTTCTGTAATTCCTCGAACTGAAATGGTGTTCTTCAAAGGTTTTTCAAGGAATCAAGTGAAGAAGAGAGGGATCATGCTGAGAAATTGATGGAATATCAGGTAGTTGAGTTAAGACAAAAAGTTGATTTTGGTTTTAGATTATTTATTGATGTTGGAATTATTTTGTAGAACAAACGAGGTGGGAGAGTGACGTTGGAGAGTATGATTAAGCCCTTGTGTGAGTATGACAATGAGCAAAAGGGAGATGCCTTATATGGTTAGTTGACTGTTTATATTTCAATGATATTGACCTCCCAACATTAATGATGAAGACTTTGGTTTATTTGGTTTATGAAAATATCTACATGTTGTTGATTGTGACGCTAAATGAAGTCTCTCGTTTAATTTCTAAGCAATGGAGCTTGCTTTGTCCCTTGAGAAGCTAACCAATGAGAAGTTACTTCACTTGCATAAGGTAGAGCTTTTCTAGCTTTCACATTTAGTTTGGATGTCTTTGAATTATGCTTATAACTTGGCCTTCTCTTTTAGGTGGCTGAAGAGAATGGTGATGTGCAGCTGACTGAATTTGTGGAAAGCGAATATTTGGGGGAACAGGTAATATAACCCATAAATAAGACGTGATTGATCATGTCTTGTTCTCATATAAGCACAACAATTCTCAATTCTTCAAACATCACCATTGTAGGTTGAAGCAATCAAGAAAATCTCAGAGTATGTTGCTCAGCTAAGAAGAGTGGGCAAGGGACACGGTAAGAGTACACCCATCTCGCCCTGCCTCACCCTGCCCTGCCTTTTCTCGCTCTATATTGTTTGTAATAGAATGCCCCGGTCTGCTAACCATATTTTTTCTGAACCCATTTGAAAACATTTTCAGGAGTTTGGCACTTTGATCAGATGTTGCTTCATGAGGGAGCATAAACAATGGAATGGAGTTTGCTGCATAGAGTTAAAGTGCAGTGAATATGAAAATAAAATGGTTCAGCTCTGGGCTGTGCTTTGGGTATGGTTGGCTTGTGATGATTCTTAGTAGTTTTTATAGGGAGATGATTAGGGGTAGATGTGTGTTAGAATTTCCTCTGGTTAACATGTTAATGTTTGTTTTGCTTTGGTTTTCAAAGGTTTGTTTTGACGTTGTAATTGGAGATTCACTCTTTTTATTATTATCATTATCCTATTTTTGTACCACTTTGACTTAGCGCTTGTGACAATTTAAGACAATTAGTCTTGCTAAATTGTCAAATTTTAATTTGGTTTTAATTTTTTTTAAATTCTATTTTACTCTTAATTAGATCCTTCCACAAGTTTTTTTTTTTTTTTTTTTAATTTAATAGACGAAAGACTTTTTTATTTTTTGGTGAATTAAATATTAGATATTCTTATTCTTCCCCTCTCCTAGATCCATTAACAAATTTTAATTCATCAATTTCCAAGTCTATTGAGTTTCTTTTTAATTATTATTTTAGTTTTGAAAAATTAATTTATAAACATTACCTATCTGGAATTCAAATCTGTAGTATAGAAAGATAAGATCCTAAAATTTTATGTTTTTTCAAATAGCAATTACGATTTGAATAGAAATTAATGTATTTAATGCAAATATCAATATCTCAAATTCCATCAATCGGCTAATTAACTTTTTTGTCAAATCAGACATAGATAGCTTTTGAAAAAAAAAATTCTTTAGTCTAATTATTCAATTAAAATAATTAAAACCTACTCTTGAAAAATAAGTCCTCATTTCTTAAAAAAAAAGCCGGTGGAGAAATAAAATTGAGGGTAGAGCAGAGTCACAACACTATAAATCAGCAAACTCGGCCTCAGTCCACTGTAAGTATTTTTGAACCACAAAATCATGATATAGAAGCAACAGCCTCCACAAGTTTCTAGTAGAAATAAATTGTCTCAAAAGATCTCAACTTACCCATAAATGATCAAGAAAGCAAAATTCAAGAAACAGATGTGCCAAATCAAAACCATTGAAAATCCATGACTACAACAACAAAAACTCTTAAGCAGTAACTGCTGCCTGGCTTGCAAGCCTCTTCCTAGCTTCTTCAATGATGGAAAGTTTTATACCCTTGCCCTTGGGGAGGGAAACCCATGGCTTGGTTCCCTTCCCGAGCGTGAACACGTTGCCTAGCCGAGTCGCAAATTCATGCCCAGTTGCATCCTGAATATGGACTGTCTCAAAGCTTCCCTTGTGCTTCTCTCTGTTTTTAAGGATTCCCACTCGACCTCTGTTTCGTCCACCAGTCACCATGACAACATTTCCTACATCAAACTTTATGAAATCAGCAATCTTGTTAGACTCAAGATCCAACTTGATGGTGTCGTTTGCCTTGATCAGGGGGTCAGGATAACGGATGGTACGCCCATCGTACGTGTTCAGATAAGGAATTCCCTTCTGCCCAAACTGCACAGAGCGAACCTTACAGAGCTTGAACTGCAAAGACAATATCACAGTCATCATGAATCATCCCATTACGATTATCACATAGAAAAAAATGTCCCTACATGAAGATCAAAAATCTTAACCAAGGGAAGAAAACAGTTGAATTGGAATCATATAGAAAAAAATGCAGATTGGTATTGAAGTGTAATTTTCTGTTTGGACAATGGTTAAAAAACTCTGTTTGCAATTGCATTTATTTTCTGTATCCTGAGCACCCTACATTCTATACAACAGGAATGCTTGCAACAAATGACAGGTCGAATAACAAACCATAGCCTCCTCATCCCTGACAGAGTGAAGGCGGAAACGCCCTTTAGTGTCATACAGAAGCCGGAAATTCTCATTTGTCTTGGGGATGGACACAACATCTACAACAAAAATAAGTGTAACGCATTAAAAATATAATAAACAGAACACATTATACAGCTAAAAGACACATCAGTTCCAAGCAGTGACATGTTTCAAAAGAACAACTTCCAAACAAGTTCACAACCAAAATATTGAAACACGTTACATAACAGGTGACTGTTAGTATCATGCTTGCAAACGGTAACTTTGCTGATAAAGTTAAGATGCATCCCTATTCTTCAGCAGTTAGGGATCGGCCAATACTTTTTATGATAGAAGAATTGATTGAAAGATCTTCTGGTAAGTAAATATTGAAACTGAAACAATAGAATAAATAAAAGTTTAAGATCAGCATACCCATAAAGCCAGCCGGATACGTCTTGTCAGTCCTCACCTTCCCATCAACTAAAATATGTCGTTGCATCAAAATTGAAATTACCTCACGGTATGTGAGAGCATATTTCAATCGGTTTCGCAATATGAGGACTAGTGGGAGACATTCCCTTGATTTATGAGGTCCTGATGAAGGTTTGGGGGCCTACAAGGGGATTTAAAAGGTAGAACTGAATGTCAGAAATAAGTTTAATGCGTAGGTAAAAATAAAATGTAAACTGAAACGAAGACTAGAAATTTCACTCACAAATGCACCACCAAGTTTGTCGAGCATCCAATGCTTTGGAGCATTGAGCCTCTTCAAATGTTTCTTCAATCCTCTTGCCTGTCAAAGCCATATACATTAATTTTAGTAAACAAAAATACGAGGAAATCATCTTGCTGAAACCATCATAGTATGCATATTTCTGGAAGTGCAGGACGACCAAACTAATTGTGTCCTTTAGTAAACACCCTCCACGCCTTCTTCCAACACAGACTCTTACACAACAAAACCAAATAGCAAACTCAAATTTCATGATGGATCGGTAGCATAACCAAAATCATCTACAAACTCTATAACACATTCATCAGGAAAATAACTCGAGTAGACCGTAGGAAGACATTTGTACTCGACATAAAGCTTATAATTCCTATATGAAAAAACAAATCTCGTCCAAAAGGGTACTAATGAAAACCCTAAATAATGTAAACACGTAAAAACCTAGGGTAAACCAGTTGAGTGGGAGAGTGTTTGAATCATGTATGAACTAATAAGCCGTGCCCTTTGCTGTGGTCACTTTTAAGGTTAAAGAGCTTGCAAGAAGGATCACTCTTATATAAAACTCATAAAAAAAAAAATCTCAACCTAACAAATCACAAAATACAGGCAGAACCAAAATAAAACTGGAAACAACGAGAAAGAACATCTTAAAGGAGATCATCAGTGGAGATATGAACCAACAGAGAAAACGAACTACTAGATAGATCCACTGACCATATTGTCGAAACGATGTTCGACGGAGAAAAACCCTTCAGTGAGATTGCCGCCGGCGCCTGCGGATAGAGAGCTGGAGCTTCGGAAGAGGCGAACAAGAAATTAGGTTCGACGGCGGTTTTATTTATATGAAAGCTTCAAGTATGAAGGGATAGTACTGAAATTAGGGTAAAGCCTTTTGGGCCTAGTGGTTCTCACAGCAAGATTTGGGCTGGGCTTTCTGAGATAATTAAATGGACAATTTTATACTAATATCCTTATTTTTCTTTTATGTTTATTAATTTAGTTTTTCTTTTAAAAAAAAAAAAAAAAAAAAAAACAAAGAAGGAATGAATGTAAAACCGGTCTATAACGGATTTTCGGTTCGATCATTGGTTTAAATGAATTAAGTTTTGCAGAGATCTTCTTCCTTCTTTTTCTGTAATTTTCTTACCAGAGAGAGTTTCTCGGTGCTTTCTTGTATTATTTATATTCGTGCGTTCTCTCTGCAAGGATGAATGGCAGGAACGAAGCACATTGTAATGCCGATTTTTCTTCTAGTTTTATTGTTCTTGTTCACCAGTTCGAGAGCCGAACAACCACCGTTCAGTATAAAGCAACATCTGTCCACTGTTACCAGGTTCTCTCCATTGACATTCTCATCTATTTCGCTGGTTTTCTGCTGTCTAATAGGCGGTTTTTCAATCTATCTTCGCGTTTTTTTTTTTTTTTTTTTTTGTTTNNNNGTACATTTAGTTTTTCGCGCGAATGATTGATGATTTGATTCATAGGAAACATCTCTGAAACTCGATGTGCTTGTTTTATAGCTGTTTTAAACGTTAACGTTTCTGATTGGACGATTGAAATGGAAACTTAGAAATCATGTGTTTTAAAATTTGTCTTCATTTCCATCCTCGAATCCACGAGAGAAATTGACAAGAAAGTCAGCGGATGGATGGATGGATGGATTGATGTCCTATATTTCTAATTGGAAAGTCATGCTTAGTTTCTTCCAGATCTACAAAATTATTCAATCAATGAGACTATTTGTAATTGGAAAGCTTTCTTGTAACTAGGCTTCAAGCTTGAGTTGTCTTGAGGGGTTTACTAGTTTGATATTCAGGAAGCTGTCTGTCTTTTTGTATGCTTAGGCTGCATGGAATTTGTCTGCAGCCTAGAGCGGTTTTCGTCTCTATTGTTCTTGTTACTTTTCAAATATCAATAAGAACTTAATCTTTCTTGTAGAAAAAAAAAGTATGTTTTCAATAATCATGAAGTACAATCTCACAGTAAAAAATATAATTTCTAATATTGATCTTTCTGGACAGATATAGTGCTGCAAATGATGGTCGTAATAGTAACATTGCTCCCGCTCCTGATGGATGTGTTCCAATTCATTTAAATCTTGTGGTAATTTATATTCCAAATTTGTTGGTTTCCAATAACAGTTTGGTTAATTACCTTTCATGATGCTTATTGATAGGGAATTATTGTGTTCTACGAGCATAAAAGCATTGGGTGGAAATAAAAGAGTATATTTCAGAATTTTTTTGATAAACTATGAATATTTAGGGTGCATCATGTATGCCCAACTTAAGATTGATTTTCCTTTTCTGTTCCATATCAATTGACTCCACAGTTTTCTCTTTGGTCGATATGTATTAGGTTGCTTGTATGAACTTAAATGTCAAATGGTACCTCAATAATCCCCAATAGAAGGGGAGGTATGCAAGATTGATTTCCTGCCACGGTTTCTAGCAGAGTATATGTATTTTTGTGCGTATGTGAATGTATCAATATTTCATTACATACCAGATCTTTTTGCACGGTGTATTTGATATTTTTGTTCTTGCTTTCAAATAACAATACTTGATTAGACTTGTCTGGAATTCTTTGAAAGCTATAAATTCCAAATTAATGAATAGATTAGACTTAAATGTGTTCCTGCTTTCTAATAACAAGATTTGATTAGATTTAATGGTTTATTATTTCTCAGGCTAGGCACGGAACTCGAGATCCAACCAAAAAACGGATCAG